CTTTCTTTCTTTCTTTCTTTCTTTCTTTCTTTCTTTCTTTCTTTCTTAGATGGGGTTTCTCTAACAGTCCTAGATGACCTGGAACTCTTGTAGACCAGGCTGGTCTTGAACTCCCAGAGATCCATCTGCTTCTGCCTCCTGAGTGCTGTGATTAAAGGTGTGCGCCATCGCCTGGCCAGTCTTAAGATTTTTAAAACTTATTTAAAGGATAGGGTGCCATTCTTGAGTATTACAAGAAAATGTTCAGATAGCATTTAGGAAAATGTGCTGGCTAGTTTTATGTTGACTTGACACAATATAAATCATTTAAGAGGAGGGAACCACAATTAAGAAAATGCCTCCAGTGCTGGGGAGATGGCTCAGCAGGTAAGAGCACTGGTTGCTCTTTAAGAGGTCCTGAGTTCAATTCCCAGCAACCACATGGTGGCTCACAACCATCTGTAATGAGATCTGGTGCCCTATTCTGGCCTGTGGGGATATATGGAGGTTGAAGAACACTGTGTACATAATAAATAAATAAATCTTGTAAAAAAAAAAAAAGAAAATGCCTGCCTCATGGGTGAGAGAAAGATGCTCTCCTCTCCCCCTTTCTCTATTACCTCCTGTGGCAGGTGAGAGAGCTGGTCTCAGGGTCACAAGAATGGGAGAGCAGGTGAGTTGACACCTCCCCCCCCCATATGTCCCCTATAGCAATCAGGAGAGAGAGCTCTGTACCTTCCCTGGACAAAACAGTAAAACAGCTGGCCTTGGTGATGTGAGTGTGGGTGACCTGGATCTGAGGCCTGAGAGCAGGAGGACTGGCCCCGCTCCTTGCTGTAGGCTGCATTGGGTGGGCTAGCTGAGGCAGTGCCGGAGAGCTTGTATGCACAGTGACCGTGAGGGAAAGCTGGCGGGCTAACCAACCCAGCTACCATCCAGGCCCAGAACCAGGGCTATGAGGTGTTCACCCCAACATCCACTATAAACTCTTGGAGCACGTGAAAGGGACAAACCTACAGATCGGAAACAGCAGGATCTCCATGACACAGAACAACAGGAATCTAAGAGGAGCCCCAGTGAGAGCCATTACTGGTGTGTAGCAGAAACTGGAGGCCTCAAGTCAGACCAAGGGCTCCAAGCAATGAACACTTTGCAGTTAAGACGAATGGACCAAAGGGTAAACTGTGTGACTTAATGGGTCACACTACAGCTTCCAAGACAAGATTCTTTTTCCCTTTTTGTTTGCTTGTTTTTTGGTTTTTCTTTTAAATTTGGTTTTGATTTGAGACAGAGGTTGCAAGGGCAGAGGGCAGATGCTTGGGGACAGGAAGGTAAGTGGGATTGGAATGCGTGATGTGAAAACCACAAAGAATCAATAAAGTTAAAAAAAGAAAAGGAAAGGAAAAAAAAGAGAAAAGAAAATACCTCCATAAGATTGGGTCGCAGACAAGCCTGTAGGACATTTTTCTTAATTAGTGATTGATAGGGGAGTGCCCAGCCCATTGTGGGTGGTACCATTCTGGGCTGGTGGTCCTAAGGGCTATAAGAAAGCAGGCTGAGCAAGCCAGTTACCCCTCCATGGTCTCTGCATCAGCTCCTGCTTCCAGGTTCCCACTTCACTGCTTTTGATGATGAACTGTTATTTGGAACTGTGAGTGAAATTAACCCTTTCCTACCCAAGCTGCCTTTGGTCACGGTGCTTCTCATTACAGAAATAGTAACCCTAGCCCGTAACTAAGACAGAAAACATCCTTCTATTTTTATTTATTGAGACCGGGTCTCTCTATCTTGTAGTTCTAGCTGGTCTGGAACTCCCTATGTAGACCAGGCTGACAGAGATCCACCTGCCTCTCTGAGTGCTGGGATTAAAGGCGTGTACCAGCACACCTGGCACATCCTTTTTAAAGAGTTTAGTCACCAGTGGCCCATCAGTACTAGAAAAAGTTTATTGATATTCTTTACTTTCCCAACGTACGTACCACAGCTCTTATAACTAACTCTCTTCTGTAGCCTTACAGAATATTAATACAACGAAGTTTTGGTGTCCCTTAAAATGCACACTCACTTTGAGCATTACCTAATTAATATTCGTACTAATGAAAATTTCCTGAAAATAGTGTGTGTATGCTTTCTGTTTAACTTCCCTGAGCCAAAGGTCTTTGGCTTATAGCATGTGGATAATAAATGATCCACAGAGTTTCCTGGAAAGGTTACTTAATATACATTATAGCACTCAATTAAGCAGTGCTTCCTTTCTCTTTCCTTTGCTACCTTTGTTTGAGATAAGATATTGATGTGTAGCCCTTGCTCGCCTAAAACTTATTATGATCAATTAATTTTGAAATGTATTTGGAAGAGAAAAGGTTCAAGTTTCTACTATTATAAAGTGGGGGGGGGATAAAATGAGGGATACAGTCCTGTCATCACAGATGTACCTAGAATTGAACTATATTGAATACTTAAGACAATAAGAATTCAATAAAGACTTTCATGTATACTATTGGAGAACTACCAGGAAATAGTGATGTGATTGACAGATCAAATGCAGCAAGAATGATTACTCATTCCCAGATTTTCAGCACTTGGGGAGCTGAGGAATATATGCGTATCAGATCAGTCTTGGCTAAAAAGAAAACAAAGAAGGAAAATGTAAATTAAGCCCACAATAGAGTATCACTTAATATCAGCTAGGATGGGTGATATGGATGGGTGATATTCCAAAATGTAAAGCTGTAGGTGTTGATGAGAATGGAGAAAAAGCTGGGACTATGGTACACGCTAGAGGGAACATAGAATGGTTAACTGCTGTAGAAAAGTGTCTCAGGGTTCTAGAGTTGCAATGAAACACCACGACTAAAAAGCAAGTTGGGGAGGAAAGGGTTTATTTGGCTACACTTCCATAGCACTGTTCCTCATGGAAAGAAGTCAGGACAGGGACTCAAACAGGACAGGAATCTGGAGGCAGAAGTCGGTGCAGAGCACAGAGAAGTGCTGCTTACTGGCTTGCTCCTCATGGCTTGCTCAGTCAGCTTTCTTATAGAATTCAGAACCACCAGCCCAGGGATGGTTCACCACAAGTGAACCCTCCCCCATTGACCATTAATTAAGAAAATGCCTTACAGCTGGATCTTATGGAGGCATTTTCTTAATTGAGGTTCCTTGCTCTCTGATGAATCCAGTTTGTGTCAAGTTGACACAAACCCTGCCAGTATAAAAAGTGTGTTGCCGGGCTGTGGTGGCACACACCTTTAATCTCAGCACTCAGGAGGCAGAGGTAGGCGGGTCTCTGTGAGTTCGAGGCCAGCCTGGTCTACAAAAGCTAGTTCCAGGACAGGCTCCAAAGCTACAGAGAAACCCTGTCCCGTAAAACAGAAAAGTGTCAGTTATTCAAAGATTTATTTATTTAGTTACTTTTTTTTGTTTGTTTGTTTTTAAGACAGAATCTCACTATGTATTCCTGACTGGTCTAGAACTTTCTATGAAGACCAGGCTAGGTTCACCTGCTTCTGCTGGGATTAAAGTCATGTAACACCATGCCTATTCAGAAATTTAAACTCTGTATCACAATGTGACTCAACAGTTCCATTCACAAGAATCCACTTTAAAGAATTAGAAACAATTATGTCAATAGATACTTAATAACAATGTTTGTAGCGTCATTATTCACAACAGCCAGAGTACAAAAATCCAAGCAAGCAGCATCAACAGAAGGATGAAAAAAAAATATGATACCTACACAGGACAAAAACATTTTTCAGCTATCAAAACAAGTGAAGTGGGAGTGGGATACAGCTCAGTGGCTGAGTATTTGCCTGGCATGGGTGAGGTCTCGGGTTCAATCCCTAGTGCTATAACTTCTGCCTCATCCACCAAATAGGAATAAAGAAGATGGGCATGGTGGCATAAGCCATAATTCCAGTACTCTGGGAGCTAAGACAGGGGGATTGTGAATTTGAGGCTAGCCTGGGCTACATGGTAAGATCCTTATGCAAACAAAACAATATTCTGAAACATGCTACAATATTGATGGACTTTTAAAATATTAAGGTAATATAAGCCATGTATAAAATAACAATGGCTGCATGATTCTGTTTATATAAGGCACCTAAGCAGGCAAACCCACAGAATGTAAGTAGAATTGTAGTCACAAAGGCTAGAGGAAGGAAGGAATGGGGAGTTATTGCTCAACGGGTTACAGAGTTTCTCTTTGGAATGATGAAATAGGGGTGATGGTTACAAAATCTTAGGACGGTATTTGCTACTGCTGAGTCGAACATTTAAGAAGTTCAAAATAGTGAGTTTTATGTCATAAATATTTATGGCACAAATGAAAGAAACATTAGAAACAGAAGCCAGAGTGTCACTCAATAAAATTCTTTCAAGAGGGCTGGTAATATGGCTCAGCAGGTAAACAGGCT